TGTGGCCGGAGAAGCAAAGCGCACGTTTAGCTGAGGCCAAGCGCAGGCATCACCTCACATATGCCTCACCCTTTGTCTACGCGACTCTGCAGTAGGCCAGATCACGCTCGAGCCCGGCCCAAAACCGCTGTATGCTCTCACAATCGGCAATGCTTCCTCCCAAGCGTCTCTGAGACTTGGGGTCTGCAAGGCAACGCCGCCTCCTAAGAGCTCGGTACGGCCCCCAGCTCGAGAGGAGCGCACAAGGTTGGATGCTGCGCTCGCAGAAGTCCTAGAGCCCCGAGACCAAAGCGGAGCAGAAGTGGTGCTTTCTGCACCTATCACCATATCACCACGCGGGTTGCTCGACGGAGGAGATGCGGCTGCTGCGTTGCGCCGAGGTGACCGCTCTGATTCTGGACGGCCCGAAGGCGTAGCGACGGAGATTCGTTGGGTGCCCTTGAACGTTGTGGTCTCAACGACATGAAAGTAGTTTTCGTGTTCAGTGTAAGCCAGCAGATCACCCCGCGGGCTCCACTTCACCACCCTTGCCGCGCCCGGGCCAATCTGAGCATCTTGAGAAGTGTACAGCTGTGCTTCGCAGCGATTGGACCGCACGTCCCAGATGCTGATGACACCGTCTTGACTAGCGACCGCACTGTTGAGCCATCGAGGCATCCAGGTCAGTACTCGTGCGATGTTACATCTTCTTTGCTAGCACTTACAACTTCATTCCGTCGGGACTCCAAGTGGTGGAAAACGACGCGTCTGTGCTCGCTGCCACAATGAAGAGGCATGCGACTCTCGATCAGGCCATTGACCCTCGGGACTGAGCTAGGTTTGACTCACCCATCAAAGTTTTGATGTGATCGAAAGTGCCCGAAGTTGACATGTGATAGAGGAACACCTCTGCGGTGTCTCCGACAGCGACAAGCGTGCGCCCGTCTGGACTCAGCGAAGAGTGGTTGATGGCTGTAGGAAACGAGACCGTTCGAACTCTGCCACAAAGATGGAGAAGTAAGCGCAAGGAACATCAGGCGAGTCGCCGTACAGAAGGGTCGAGACGAGGAGCAAGGCTCACCTGGTCAGCCCTGGCAGTCCAGTGTCTATCCGACTGCTAGAGCCCGCGCCAGGCCGCAGTCGGAAACAGCGCAGGGTCTGGTCATTGTTCGACACGAAGAGCACTGCGCCTCCGCTGTTTGGCGTGCGTTGCATCTCATGCCCCTCCACCCTCGCGCTGACTTGAGTCTCATTTTCAATCTCATCCTCGAGATCATCTTCCTCGTCGTCTTCATCGACTGAATCGTCGTCTTCTGCGCTCACACTCTCGTCCGAAAGGATGCGACGAGCGCTAAATAGAGGCGCAATCCCTTCCTCCCCCGCCCGACTTCCGCTAGTCCGCGATTCGCGCCGCCTCGACAATTCGTGCATTGTGAATCCATAGGCTGCTGCCGCATCTTCATCTCGCTCCAGCTCGGTGTCTAGCGCATGCCGTGAGAACAGACTGCTTCGTGCTCTGCGCTGCCCTTGTCTTTGGGAGGGATGAAGTGGATTGTGACCGCTTTGCCCGATGGGTTCTGCTCTGCCAGACGTGATTTCTGAGCTCGAAGAACCACGCGAGAGGACAGTGGGAGGTGCAATGAAGATGCTATTGTTGATGCTGCGACCAGTAGGCGTGCACAGCCGCCAAAGTGGTGCTCCAGAGCTGGAAGCGGGCAAAATGCGACTATGCTGAGATTGAGATGAGCCGAGCACGGCTGACGAAGGCGAAGACCTCGATGACTCTGCTGCT